GGAAAATGAACCTTCTTTAGCTTCTTTAATCAGACAGCTATATCCGATATAATATAACCCTCAGTCCGGTGCAATAGTATTAACTTAAATTACTACACTTTCAGGTTTAATTATATATATTCTAGGATTTGGGGTAGGTATTTTAACAAGACTTTCAGCCTGTATTTCGCTGATTTGTATTCATCGACTTTTTTCACTAGGTCGTTTTGGTTCTTGTATTTTGACTCTGTAAAAGTATTACTTTTCACAGAGCCCCACGTTGGGCGCCATGTTTAGAGTATTGAGAGGTCCTGATAATTTATTCCGGCAAATTATTCTGACCTCCTAATTGACCTTTCCGAAGATTATTGAGTCTATGTAAGTTTGCTGCGTGGCTCAGATCCACCAACGTCAGCAAGATCTCACCTCTACTAACTTCCCGAAGAACCAAGGTTCAATTAACTGCTGTTTCAATTCAGACAACTCTTTTTTAATCTGTTTAAGCGATCCCGAAGGATTTTGATATCAGTAAATGGAGTGTGCTCCTACCTAAGTGTGTGTGGCAGGGTGCAATCTTACCTTTGACGCAGGAGAGGAGGGCACAGGTGTCTTTTAAAGGATCCCAATCCAACAGGTGGGATTCAGTTTATTTGAAGAAAAATAGGTCCAAACTAATACAGGGTTTTTACCTTCTCTCTCACAACATTATAATCATACTAACAAAAACACCGTGCTGTGATCATGTTCAAATGAAACTTTAATTCACAGTCTTACATTTATTACCAAAATGTTTTAATTTCAACTGCCCATTTCAGTTGTGACATTTAAAATTCTCCCGATAGAATTTAGAGGTATTTCCTCGTAAAAAGACCGGTGACAATAAAAAGCGCATTCAACTTTTCATTCACCCATTTATTCACTTCAGTTTTCATACACTTTTTCCGACAGACGGCGGATTAACACTCAAAAACCCATTCCTATCCGCAAAATTCGAAGGAAGGTCCTTACAGGTCGCGGTATTTATAATTTTCAAACACTTTTTCCGACACAGACGGCGGATTAACCTTTCAAAAACCCATTCCTATCCGCAAAATTCGGGGGACCAGATTTTCCCCACAGGTCGCGGTATTTATAAAGGTTCACACACATCTCTCATCAAATCATTCCACTCAGCCAACAACCAATAAATTCGAGAGATATTTACCCCGTCTAGAAGGACCTTACCGAGAGCTATTAACCCAGCTCTGAAGCACACAGCCTACCCGGAGAGAGTCTACCAGGGGTCACCCCCCCTCTCTCGCGCTCTCTCAAAAAACCAGTCTCTTTATGCTAAAAAAACTGGATCCTAAACCCAAAAAAACAAACTCCTCCTCTTCACCCAATTCAGTTGAAAACTGCGCCTGCGCACTAATGTACAAGGCTAAACATGTCCCGACATGTTCCACAGCTGTTATGGGATAAGACACCCTTTCATATGAGGTAAAAAGGACATGAACTCTCTTTGGCCTCTAATGTTTCTCCCCTTAGTGTGAAGCCCCCCCCCCCCCTCTCTCTCTGGACTGCTGCCAGAGGAGAGGAAGAAAACTCAACCTAAACAACCCACTTGGTTTTGTTTATACTGTAACTATAGAAAACCTAAAATATGAAGCATTTTCATTGTGAGTTATACAAGAATATAATTGATTATATTTGATTATAACTAACTTTCGTTTTTAAGTATTAAACATACTATGAAAACTCACAACACCCTCTTTTCAAAACGCAAAGTTCTCAAATAGCAACAGAAAAAATTGTAAGCATAGATACATATTCAAAAACCGTCAAGAAGCATTCTCATTATGGGTTTATACAAGAATATGATTGATCATGTATGATTTATAATTAACTTTCGTTTTTTAAGTATTCACTTCATACCATGATCTCAATTAACTTTCGTTTTAAGTATTCACTTCATATGAAGATCTCAACACTACACACCAGGAAAGCTGATACCAACCCCACATATGGTTAAAAGGGACCACATCATACCGTTTAACCCATGCTCGAATGCAGAAATGGAGTCAGGGATGGAAAAAGTACAGCTAGAAATAATCAGAAAACTGTGTGGGCTCCCCAGAGACACTTTGGTGGAGTTATGTGACTTTCTAATCATCGCAGGTCCAGAGTTTGAGTTTGTTACAGGCAGGAGTCGAACAGCTCTAATGACATTGATTTCAAATCAGCGTTCACACACTGAAGTTGTATAAACGTAGCCAGCCAATCAGGGCGAGCCTACCTGAATGTGTGCGCAGGCACACAGGGATTTTTGACCACTTTGTTGTTCAGATATATCACATATTTGTAACTAAATGATACATTAATTGAACATTTCAAAATCTTTGAAATACAGATTTGGATATGGCCTTTTGAGGCATCTGGGTCTTTGTATGGACAGTGGACTGTACACTTGACTGTTGTTTTAAGGAGGTTTTTTTTGCTTGTGAGACAATGTGTGCTCATATTTATTTATTTATATATATAGAGAGAGAGCTCTGTTTTCCAGCCTAAGTCTATTTAATTGATTGTTTTGGTTGTGTGTGATTTTAATTAATTTGTTATAATTAAATGTATTTGTTTTATTTATTATATATAATTTATATATTTGAATATTATTTCACATTTCATTTGCAATGTTGAATGTTCAATACAAAATTCTGTTTCAAAGGATTTACTTGAATTATTATTGTATATTATCATTATGTCAGTGGTCTAAAATGGTCTTACAACGGAGCCGACAATATTATGGTTTATCTCAATAATATCCGGGAAAATGTACTGTCCAACTAAATTAATTATTGTGACAGGCCTATGTGTACCATGTTGTTGTTTGGCATAATACATTGGACTTGAAGCAAGTAACAACGTCTCCGTTTCTTGTCTGATATTTTCCCCATATTAGGGGCATAACACTAACAGACGTTGATGCAGATTTTATACCGAATGTAATGTGTTTAACCTGTTAAGCCCGAGAGCCTTTTATCGTATAGGCGCATGCATTTCTTTCTTTTTTTAAAGAAAAAAGTGTGCGGGAGCGCACACAGCGTAAAGCAAAACCTCCCAGACATGTGTTGATCTGTACGGCAAAGTACGGGTTGGAAACTATATAATTTCCTTTTGGAGGGCATGCATACCACGGCATAACACCAGAGCCTCGCTGCGGGGAAACGTTGGCGATGTTCCGAGTTTGTTCTAATATGTCTAAATGACAGACTGCTTTCAGATTTTTCCGTCATTGATAAATAAAATATTCGGTTAACGCGACCACTGCTGTCCCAGCAACCTCAGTACCAAGCGAGAGAGTTCTTTCCAGAGCAGGGGATATTGTAAATGCCCAAACATCCCAGCTTATAAATACCTGGAAATGTGGACATTCTCATATTCCTAAAAACCTGTCTGATGATGCTGAATGAGTGACTAGTTAGTTTGAGTTGAGTTACTTGAAAAACTAAAGTGAAACTTGATTTATTTTATTGCAGGGTCTGATTATTAAATGTCCTTGTTTATTTGTGAGATGCAGTAGCACAAAGAAAATGCCTACTTTGTTTGGTAGTACTATAGGTACAAAAACACTGGTTTTCTTGTTCCAGTCTGTTACTGTCACTTTGTTTTTGACACTTTAAAATACTGCTATCCTACTAAAATGCTGTACAAATCTGATTTATTATGTAATAAAGAAACATTTTTCGAGTAAAAAAAATTGTTATTTAAAAAAATTAAATTGAATTTTTGTTTTCTTTATTATTCAATATCGCGATAAATACCGTACCGTGGACTTGTTATCGCAATATTGTCGTACCGTGAGTTTTTTGTATCGTTACATCCCTACTTATTACTCATCATAACTGCACATACAAGATATCAGATTAAAGCTGAGATTCTATAGGTATTAGTATCATCACTGAGTGATCAGAACTCACAACAGGGAAAGCAAATACGGACATCACAACACGTAGCATTACGAAGCATTCACGGAACATCGTCTTACCTTAGCTGTTGTTCTGATCAAAAGTCGTGTTCAATGGCATTAAAACGATAAAAACGCTGCTGAAGGTTAATCCATAGGTTAATCCAATGTGTCTGTCACTTTGAAATGATTACTGATAATCCATCATCCAATTTTTATGTCAAAAACTGAGATTTTGATATTAGCTGCTAATGATGGCTACCAGAGTGTATGACAGCTTCCTGTTCCGGGGTATTCTGGCTACGTATCACTCATTCACCAATGGGTAATGTTTAGATGGATTTTAGGAACTTCCCCTAGATTCTATTGGCTCTAACTGTTAAAAAGAGATGTCAATCATCAAAATCGAACGAGGGGGGCCAGAGATATGGAAAAGGCGCCCAAATGACCCCAGAAGTGTTTGTTTTTTTCTAAATCTCTCTAAAAAGGTAAAATGTCACTTGTTTTGCATCAACCTTGATACAGGGTACTTATATGTTATAGTTTGGATTCCTAAAGCTTTTAATCCACTATCCCATCATTCAAGGGTGGATTTCACTATAAGTAATTTCATTTTTTGGACAGACACTATAATTTACATTTTTGTACTATGTTCGGTCTGAATGTACTTAAAAATTATAAAAATCTATATTGATTCTGACTTTCTACGTCCAACTCACAGGTTTATCATTGCTTTGAGAAAAAATAATATTCATTTACCCCTTTTAGAAGTGAAGTTATAGTCATTTGTTCTGGGAATGTCATTTTTGATGTCATTCATTCAAAGAGTTCGTTTATCCTTGGAGGGTGATTTATCCGTGCTTTTATACGTTAAACCGTGTTTTTGTTGCCTCCCATTCTTTGTTCGTAGCTTTTTATGTGGCTAATTGGTAAACATAAGTAAAGGCATTTAACCCTGTGACGTTTCACACAGAGGTCAAGGAATAGTAGATAGGAAAAGACGATGGGAACTGATTGTTGACAATTCGACTGCAACCCAGAACAGACTGCTAACTCAACATGACCTATCAAAAACATCCCAATAGAACACAACATTTTATTAACCAAACAGATTATTGGAGAAACTTGTCGGCAGATAAATGAACAGTGAAACTAAATTCCTTCAATGCAGCTTAACAAGGCTAACGGTTGAGATATAATATTTTTTTAAAAGGAACAACAAGGCTATTAGAAAACCATGGTTGAAACACAGCATAAAACATTTCTTTATAGATCAGGAACCATTACAAACATGAATTAAATAGGAGAAACAGCATCTCTGTGGCCTTGTGTTGGCATAGTGTGAACGCTGGTTAGAACATAAAAAACTGTTGTAATAATAAAGCTTTATTCATATAACACTTTGCATAGATCACATGCAGCTCAAAGTGCTTTACAAAATGGCGACACATCACAAGTTAACATTAAACAAGAAAGTCCCCTCAGATGTTAAGATCTTTACAGATACATGCAGCAAAATATAACATTAACAGGTTAAGATACACAAGGAGGTAAAAGGTATGATAAAAACAAATGAAATACAGTAAAAAACAATTATGATGTATCTCGGAAAGATAAGGTACAAGAAAAGTGAATAGATGCAACAATATAAAACCCTATCAAATAAAGTGAACATATAGGTACAACAGAAATAAAAGCAAAACAATGAATAGTAATAAAATCGTCATAATTCTAATAAAGGTTAAACGATTAAAATGTAAAGAAAACAACGTAAAAATAAATGTTGTTATTGAAACTGTTAAATAACTAACATGAGAGACACATTTAGAATGTAGAATTTGAAAATACAGCCGGAAAAAATCTGCCACTTCCTTACAGAGCCCCTCCTCTAACACATACGAACGCACACATGACCAATGAGGGCACGAGATAAGTTTGTGCACAGATGGAAGGCTGACAGGCAGGTAGGCCATCCAGTTATTTTAGCCAGGCCGGCTAAAATGATTGGTCGTGCTTTTTACATTACTACGGCTTCCACAGATGATTTTTTTAATGTATTTTTTGTCAAAGCACTTCAGAAATTCATTGCTATCGGGATGTTAAAGAGCAACTTGCAGGTTGTTTTTTTTTACTACATTTATGCTTAACCTTGCCTGAAAATTACAATTAAAAATGTTAATGCAGTATTTGATATGTTTTACAAGACATAAGGGCAGGAATTCAGAGGAAAAGGAGCAGTTTTGAGCTCTGCTACTAAAAACTGCTTTTTTTTAACGTCAAACGCGTCATATTACGTCACATGGGGGAGCAACTTTCTCGGACTCGTTCTCTGCCCAATCCGCGGAAGTAGTTTGTAGTTGCTTTGAGCGGTTTTGATTTAGTGAGCTGGTATTCTTTCGGTAATTTTACATTGCATTTCACCATTTCTAATCATGGTGAGCTTGTGTTTGTGTAGGTTGCACAAACTCGAGCCTGTCAGGACATCGAGTCCACAGTTTCCCTCACGGGAAAAGGAACGGAGCTAGCGTTCGTTCCTGGGTGCGATGTGCATCCACCTCCCTGCAGCACATGCTTTATCAGGAAACCGTATTACATCTCTCTCCCCCCCTTCACTGCTCTCTCTCTCTCCCCTCCGGTACACGGCACCGTAAGACGTAGTGTGGAGTTGCATTAGGTAACGCTGTGGTGGCTGTACTGCTCCAGCCGTCTCCTTTGTGTTTGTTTGTTTCCCCCTGTCTGTGTTGTTTGTGTGGGCGTGGTGGCTGTCACTCCTGGCTCCCGGCTCAACCTCCACTCACCTGCTGCAATCAGCTGTGCACCCTCCCCGACTACACACCTGCTTTTCATCAAGCCATTTACAACGGCATATCAACGGAGGCTCCACAACCTTTCTCCGCCAAATCGTCAAGTATCAGCCGAATCTCGCGTCTCCCCTCCGGTACACAGCACCGTAAGACGGAGTTGCATTAGGTAACGCAAGATACGGCTGATACTTGCGCGTTAGTTTCTGTTATGGATCAGTATCAACAGTCCTGCCAGTAACGTTACTATATTATCAATACTACTTTAGTTATAGCCTGATATATGATAGCTAACTTTACAATGTTGTGATGTGACTGACGTTAGCTAACATTAACTGTAGCTAACGCCGGTCACTCACCAAGACAGCTGCTCTGTTCTCCACTGGTTCTCCACACACCAAAGCTCCATTTCTCTCCGATGGCCATTATTTTTTCTAATTCTTGGCTGCTCCTGGTCTCTTGGACGCATAGCAGGCTCATAATTATAATCATATGCATTCGAATATATATTTTCAACCTCTTCGTTGTCAAATCTAGCATTGTGATCCATGTTTATTCATACGTTAGACCGGCCGCTCTCCCCCATGTTACGTCACGTGCGGAGGCTTTTTTGATGCGGAAGTGAAAATGTCTTACTAAAACGACGCCAGATGTCACTGTAGTGTATATTTCTGTATATTTTTTTGAAAATCTAGTGTATTCATCATTTTCCTACACATTTATTCACTGGTGTCTCTAACCTGCAAGTTGCTCTTTAAGAGCTTTCCATGGATTATTACAAAAAGTGTATCTCGAGCCGGTTTCTCAAACTTACCTAACCCACCTTTAAATGACTAATATAAGATAAAACCCTTTCTATATCGTAAATAAAACAGTAGGTAAATAATAAAGACTAAAAGACCAATTAAAGTGGGGCGTTGCTAATAAAAAGCTAATCTAAAGAGATATGTCTTTAGCTGGCGTTTTAAAATGTCCACTGAGCCTCTCTCATATGTCCTGGTGTTCCACAGTTTTGCAGTGTGGTGGATGAAAGCGACCTCACCCATTTTATTAAGGGAAATGTAGGGATATTTAAAAAGCTGAGGAGGACCTCAGGGCTTGTTCAGGGACATACAGCGAGACTGACTGTGAATTGAAGTCTGATAGTCAGACTTCAATTCAGAAAGACTCAGGAGGAGGAAACCGCTAGCTTGCCTCTCTTAGTTTTTCAAAACGATGCAGTGTGGATTCGCTCATGGAGTTAAAGGTGAATACTTTGAGAAAACGTTTTCCCACACTCTTAATACCACTATGGTTTCTCTCCATCGTGAACCCTATGATGTTTTTGGAGATTACCTAATTCCGTGAATGTTTTCCCACACTCTTCACAGCAGTACGGTTTTTCTCCTGTGTGAATACGTTGATGTGATTTTAGTTTACTTGATTGAGTGAAAGTCTTCCCACACTCTTCACAGCTGTACGGTTTCTCTCCTGTGTGAATTCGTTGATGTGTTTTGAGACCACTTGATGTAGTGAATGTTTTCCGACACTCTTCACACCAGTACGGTTTCTCACCCCGGTGAATACGTTGATGCGTTGTGAGATAACCTGATGTATTGAACGTTTTCCCACACTCTGCACAGCTGTACGGTTTCTCTCCCGTGTGAATACGTTGATGTTGTTTGAGATTACCTGATGTAGTGAACATTTTCTCACACTCTTCACAGCTGTATGGTTTCTCTCCCGTGTGGATACATCTATGAGTTGTGAGATAACCTGATGTAGTGAATGTTTTACCACATTCTTCACAGCTGTACGGTTTCTCTCCGGTGTGAATACGTTGATGTGATTTTAGTTTACCTGACTGAGTGAACGTTTTCCCACACTCTTCACAGCTGTATGGTTTCTCTCCTGTGTGAATACGTTGATGTGTTTTGAGACCACTTGATGAAGTGAATGTTTTCCCACACTCTTCACACCAGTACGGTTTCTCACCCCGGTGAATACGTCGATGTGTTGTGAGATAACCAGATGTACTAAACGTTTTCCCACACTCTTCACAGCTGTACGGTTTTTCTCCTGTGTGAATAACGTGATGTTTTTTTAGATTACCTGATGTAGTGAACATTTTTCCACACTCTTCACAGCTGTACGGTTTCTCTCCCGTGTGAATAAATCGATGAGTTGTGAGATAACTTGATGTAGTGAACGTTTTCCCACACTCTTCACAACTGTACGGTTTCTCTCCTGTGTGAATACGTTGATGTGTTTTTAGATCACCTGATTGATTGAATGTTGTCCCACACTCTTCACAGCTGTATGGTTTTTCTCCTGTGTGAATACGTTGATGTGTTTTGAGATTACCTGCTGTAGTGAAAGTTGTCCCACACTCTTCACAGCTGTACAGTTTTTCACCTGTGTGAATAAGTTGATGTGTTTTGAGTTCACCTGATGTAGTGAAAGTTGTCCCACACTCTTCACAGCTGTACGGTTTTTCTCCAGTGTGAATAAGAAGGTGGCGCTTTAAATCTCCAGATATTGTAAAGGATTTGTCACATTGCTGACAGCTGTGAAGTTTCTCCCTTCCTTTCGGTTTCTAGAACAGACGTAGAGAGAAAGAGAGAAAGTAAATCTAAAAAGCATAAATACCTATACAGTTAACACAATAAAAACTTCCTTAATACAAACTTTCTGTTAACAAAATACTTATTTTACTAATATAACTGTTTGTGTTTAATATATTTGTATTATATTTGATGCAGTAATACAGCAACGTTCTAACCAAAGTAAATACAGCAATGTTCTACATTGGGAATGCGATGTATGTAAATATTTTAACTAAATAAACTACCCAGTAATACAACTTGTATAACTCCCCTTATTTGAATCATTAGGTTATAAAAGTTGTAAAATGCACTAAAAGCTGAATCCAGATTTATTTGTGTGCATCTGGACCCGGTAACGACATTACCTATTGACGCAGCAACCACTGTAAGTTATATTCTTGTTTAATTAGACTTCTCTGTTTCATTTATTCGACTCTGTATAAATTGTTATTGTAGCTTTAACGGCTAAATCGCGTTTGAGAGATTTTAAATCTCAGATCTGCTCAGGCGAAACCTGCTTTACAGGTCTCAGCACTCAAGCCTGCATTAATATAGGCACGGCCAGTCTACTGATAGCGTGAAGTACAACCGCGTGACTCAGTCATTTTGTACCTTAAAAAGCATTTAAATACCGCATTTAAAATCTGATGAACTCAGTGTGCATCTGGACCCGGTAACGACATTACCTATTGACGCAGCAACCACTGTAAGTTATATTCTTGTTTAATTAGACTTCTCCGTTTCATTTATTCGACTCTGTATAAATTGTTATTGTAGCTTTAACGGCTAAATCGCGTTTGAGAGATTTTAAATCTCAGATCTGCTCAGGCGAAACCTGCTTTACAGGTCTCAGCACTCAAGCCTGCATTAATATAGGCACGGCCAGTCTACTGTCGCCCATCAGCTGTAGATAGTTAACTAATTAGAGGGCCGTGGCCCTACAGCTGTGTGAACTGAGCAATCAGGCGTCCATTTTTGGGTAGCTCTTTCCTAGAGCGTCAGCTTCAGCGTCAGACAGCCGAAGACTGACAAAGACATTGGAGTCCTGCGGGAGTAAGACTGACAAAGACATTGGAGTCCTGCGGGAGTCACGAGGGAGGCAAAGAGGAGGCAAATCCTACTCTGATTGAGCTGGTGTCTTATTTATCTTTTCTTTAGTTTTCTAGCCCCTCATGCTATAATCATGTGTATTTTCTCCATTCCTGTTCATGTGTCTTCTCGCAATTATCACTGGCCCCGTGTATCTCCTAATCGATATAACCGGCCTGCTCTCGTCTATCCCACGTGCTCCACAGAGATCCAACATCTAGTTTCTGGTGGCCTGTGGAACTGCCAGTCAGCTGTTCCTAAGGCTGACTTCATCTCTGGCTACGCCTCCCTGCAGTCTCTGGATTTCCTTGCTCTCACTGAGACCTGGATTACTCCATCCAACACATCCACCCCAGCAGCTCTCTCCACTGCATATTCCTTCTCCCATACACCCAGACCCACTGGCAGAGGAGGTGGCACTGGTCTCCTGCTATCTCCCAAATGGAGCTTTTCCCTCTTCAAGCTACCTAACTTCACTCCTTCCACCTTTGAATTCCATGCCGTCACAGTAACCCATCCTATACAGTTAACCATTGTTGTTCTCTACCGTCCACCAGGCGCCTTGGGGGACTTCTTGGAGGAATTAGATAATCTCCTCTCACTCATCCCTGAAACTGGCCCTCCCGCTGTACTTCTCGGAGACTTCAACCTCCAGACGGGGAAGATAGACGAACTAACATCTCTGTTAACCGCCTTTGCTTTCTCACTGTCTCCATCCCCACCGATTCATAAAGCTGGCAATGTCCTTGATCTCATATTCTCAAGGAACTGCTCTACTTCTAACCTCTCTGTAAACCCGCTCCACACATCCGATCACTTCTTCATTTCATTCTCTCTATCCCTTTCCAAACATAACAAACTAATCTCTTCCCATCCTGCACTTGTCCGCCGTAACCTTCGCTCCCTCTCCCCCCCTACCTTAGCCTCGTCGGTGCTCTCAGCCCTCCCTTCCTCTGATTCGTTCCATCTCCTGCCTCCAAACTCTGCTGCAGAAACTCTCCTCTCTACTCTCTCATTCACTCTGGACTCACTCTGTCCTCTCACATCTCGGCAGGCTCGTCAGTCCCCTCCTGCTCCCTGGCTAAATGATGCACTGCGTGCTAATAGAACCGTCCTTAGGGCAGCAGAGCGGAAATGGTGGAAATCCAAACACCGTGACGACCTCCTAACCTATCAAGCTCTCCTCTCCTCTTTCTCTGCTTCGATCTCTCAGGCGAAAAGCACTTTCTTTCAAGATAAGATCCAATCTTCCTATTCCAATCCTAAAAAACTATTTTCCATCTTCTCCACCCTCTTGGACCCTCTAAAAGCTCCTCCCCCCTCCTCACTTCTGTCAAGCGACTTTGTTACCCACTTTGAAAAAAAGGTTGATGATATTCGCTCTTCTTTTTCTGACTCACCTTTACTCACCGCTGGGTCTCCAGACCCTCCTTCCACCAACACACTAACCTCCTTTTCCCCTCTCTCTCCAAGTGAGGTTCTTACCCTCATTACCTCTGCCCGACCTACCACCTTTCCTCTGGACCCTATCCCTTCAAACCTCCTTCAGACTATCGCTCCTGATATTCTACCGTTTCTCACCCATTTCATCAACACTTCTCTAACTTCTGGTCACTTTCCAAACAGTCTCAAGGAGGCAAGAGTAAACCCTCTCCTAAAGAAACCCACTCTCAACCCATCTGATGTTATAAACTACAGGCCTGTCTTTCTCCTCCCGTTCCTGTCTAAATCACTTGAACGCGCTGTCTTTAAACAACTCTCCTGTTATCTCAATCAGAACAACCTTCTGGATCCGCACCAGTCTGGTTTCAAGGCAGGTCACTCCACAGAAACGGCTCTCATTGCTGTCACGGAGGAACTGCACACTGCCAAAACTGCATCCCTCTCCTCTGTCATCATCCTATTGGACCTGTCTATCGCATTCGACACGGTGAATCATCAGATCCTCCTTCGCACTCTCCAAAAACTTGGAGTTTCAGGCTCTGCACTTTCCCTCCTCACCTCATACCTCAAAGACCGTACCTACAGGGTGACTTGGAGAGGGTCTGAGTCCGACCCTTGTCAATTAACTACGGGGGTCCCTCAGGGCTCTGTTCTTGGTCCCCTCCTCTTCTCCGTGTACACAAACTCGCTCGGATCAGTCATTAGCCCGCATGGTTTTTCTTACCACTGCTACGCTGACGACACCCAATTAATTCTGTCCTTTCCCCGCTCAGAGACCCAGGTCGTTGCACGCATCTCTGCTTGTCTAGCTGACATCTCTCAGTGGATGTCTGCTCACCACCTCAAGCTCAACCTTGACAAGACTGAGCTGCTCTTCCTCCCGGGAAAAGATTGTCCCACTCTTGACCTAACAATCAACATCGGCACCTCAGTTGTTTCCCCGACTCAGACTGCAAGGAATCTGGGTGTGACCCTAGATAACAACCTGTCCTTCACTGCAAACATCGCTGCTACAACCCGTTGCTGCAGATACACGCTTTACAACATCAGGAAGATACGTCCCCAGCTGACCCAGAAAGCCACGCAGGTTCTGGTCCAGGCTCTCGTCATCTCACGCCTAGACTACTGCAACTCCCTCCTGGCTGGTCTACCTGCATGTGCCATCCGACCTCTGCAGCTCATCCAGAATGCAGCGGCTCGTCTGGTCTTCAACCTTCCTAAATTCTCCCACACCACTCCGCTCCTCCGCTCCCTTCACTGGCTTCCGGTAACTGCTAGAATCCACTTCAAGACACTGGTACTTGCTTACCATGCTGCGAATGGATCTGGCCCTTCCTACATCCAGGACATGGTTAAACCGTACACCCCAGCGCGTGCACTACGCTCTGCATCAGCCAAACGACTCGTTGCGCACTCGCTGCGAGGGAGACCCAAGTTCCCATCGGCGAAAACACGTGGGTTTGCTGTCCTGGCTCCAAGATGGTGGAATGAGCTCCCCATTGACATCAGGACGGCAGATAGCTTGCACATCTTCCGGCGCAAACTGAAAACTCATCTCTTTCGACTCCACTTCGAGCGTTAGAACTACTAACGAAGCACTTTTATACTAATAAAGGACTGGCTTACCTAAAGCCAGTGGAGTAGCACTTGAAATGTTTGGCTCTATGAAACCTGATGTACTTATATGATTCTGTTTTCTTCAAGGTTGTGTCTTCCTGGTCGAATGTACTTATTGTAAGTCGCTTTGGATAAAAGCGTCAGCTAAATGCAATGTAATGTAATTTTCTCTCTCCATTCATTCTACTGAGCCGAGTGAGGGAGATTGGAGTCAGGCTTAAGGGAAAACTAAAATGTGCATGCTCTACACTCTCGACAGCAAGGCATGATGGGTAATTTGTGAAGTTTTGCTCTCGAGAATGTCAGGCCATTTTGTCTTCATGTGCCAATGAGCAGCTCTCATAACAATGGACGAAGCCTCCAGTCTCTGTTAATAAATTAAAGTATAAAGTTTGCATATTTGAAATTAAATGTTTAAAGAAAAAAACTTGATTCTAAACATGACATTGACAATGTGTTCTCCTTTCATGAAAATGTTTCATATTCCCTCTTGTTAAAATTGCATATTATTACTATAAGTCTTTATTTTATCTTTACATTTTTAATTGTTCATTAAGTAAAAGTTGAACCTATGTGACCTCCTTCTCCCTCAAAGATAGAAAAAGGGAAACCACCTGATGCAGAGAGGGAGGAGTGTGAAGAGAATGGGGGGCTTTTTAGGCTTGGAGGCTTGAGAGCTTGGGGGAAAGCTTTTGGAAGCTGGATTCCGGGTCTTGGGCCCTGGGCCTGGGAACTTTTAGACTGCTTTTTTTGGACATTTGACTTCTGATCCTGTTGCTTTTATATTTTGACTTTGTGTCTTGTTATATTAGGGATTCTTGTAAATCCGCAATTTTTGTTA